GGGTTTAGGCTTAGGGTATGGGGTTTGGGTTTAGGGCCTAGGGGTTTGGGCCTTAGGGTTTCGGGTTTGGGGTTTAGGGTTTCGGGTTTGGGGTTTAGGCTTTGGGGCTTGGGGGTATAGCAGCAGACATGCTTACCCCGAGACCGTCCAAATATCGAGTTCAGAACCCATCTAAAAGTTTCGTTTAAAGTTCTCCAGGGTTGGTGTTTAGTGTTTCGGTGCTGCCGATCAAGCATACGAGCCCTAAGCCCTAAACCCCGATCCCCAAAAAGGCCATAATGTATGTCCTAAAGCCTCTAAGGCCTGAAGCCACAAAGCACGCTTGGAAGGTATGAAGCCATGGCTGCAGGTGGGTACGCCGGGAACAGCCAGGAGCGGTTTGGGGCAGCTTCGCGCTGAGGGAAGCATCTTCCGGAGCCCTAAACCCTAAGCCCTAAGCCCTAAGCCCTATGCCCTAGGCCCTAAGCCCTAAGCCCTAAGCCCTAGGCCCTAAGCCCTAAACCCTCAGCCCTAAACCCTAAACCCTAAACCCTAAACCCTAAACCCTAAACCCTAAACCCTAAACCCTAAACCCTAAACCCTAAACCCTAAACCCTAAACCCTAAACCCTAAACCCTAAACCCTTAACCCTTTACCCTTAACCCTTAACCCTTAACCCTAAACCCTAAACCCTAAGCCCTAAGCCCTAGGCCCTAAACCCTAAACCCTAAGCCCTAAGCCCTAAACCCTCAGCCCTAAGCTCTAAGCCCTCAGCCCTAAACTCTAAACCCTCCTAAGGAAGATATGCAGCAGCAGAACCCTGAAGCCTAAAGCTCAACCCTTCAAACTCCCGAAGCCTTGAAACAAGCCCCTCGAGAACTCAAAAACCACCAAAACCCCAAACCCTGAATCCTAAACCCTCAGACCCTGAACCCTAAACCTGGCTTAAACACCCTCGAAAGCCCTTAACAAATCTGAAAGCCCTGAAAAACAAACTAAACCCGAAACCCTAAACCCTAAACCCTAAACCCTAAACCCTAAACCCTAAACCCTAAACCCTAAACCCTAAACCCTGAAGGGCCCCCTCTTGGCGGCCACGAGGATGCACCCCTTGTGGACTTCCAGCGGAAGCGCAGCGAGGTGTTGGGGTTTAAGGTTTTAGTGGTTGAGGGTTGAGGGTTTAGGGTTTAGGGTTTAGGGTTTAGGGTTTAGGGTTTAGGGTTTAGGGGAATATTGTGTGTTTAAAATTGCGGTTTGAATGGTGTTTGAATAGGGTCTAGGAAGTTCGGGTTTCGGGTGTAGGGGGGGCTAGGGACTAGGGTCGCACGTAAAGGGCCTAAGTTTAGGGTTTGACGCCTGAAACCCTAAACTCGAAACCCTAAACTAAGAATCCCAAACCTACCCCAGACTCTAAACCCTAAACCCTAAACCCTAAACCCTAAACCCTAAACCCTAAACCCTAAACATTCAACCCTGAAGGCCCAGCTACTCGCAGTCCTTAATGTCAACGCAGCAGCCCGGGGGCCAGGGTCGCGCGTGTCCACCGCGGCAGGCCCCAGGCCTTGCAAGGCGGCACGTTAAAGCACCTGGTCCGCGTGGCCATCCAGCGCAGGGTTTAGGGTTTAGGGTTTAGGGTTTAGGGTTTAGGGTTTAGGGTTTAGGGTTTAGGGCTTAGGGTTTAGGGCCCCGAGGCACTGAGTCCGGCTCTGCCTCACCCTGCCGCCCAGGTCGCACCCGCACTCTCGCAATCTGCACGGAAGTCTTCTTCCCTTTCATCGGGCTTCGGTTCCCTTATCAATCCCTCTCGGCGCAAAAAAAAGGGGGCACCTTTATTCCTAAATTGCTCCAGGACCTAGACCCTGAGCGCCAACCTCAAACGTTTTTGGAGAAAGGGGCTACATTCTAACACCTCAATAAATCCTGAAACCCCAAAAGCCCGAAGAACAGAAAAGCCTAAAACCCTCAACCCTAAAGCCTCAAACCTTAATCGCCGAAGAACCATAAGAACCCTCAAGCCTATGAAGCCTAAACCGTGCTAAAGAAGACCCCCACCCTACTTGGAGGTTCGTGGGTAGTTATAATAAATCTTACCCTACTTATGATTACCCATGAACCTCCAAGTAAGCCCTTCATCCCTTCATTTGGGTTTCGGGGTTTAGGGTTCCGAAGCCCTAACTAAGCCCTAGGCCCTAGGCCCGAAGCCCCTAAACCCCAAAACCCGGAACCCGAAATTCTCCCAGGTTAAGGGATCCGAAGTCTGGGCCCTTAATTTGGAGACCTTTTTGCATACACTATATATGTATGTGTGTGTATATATATATATATTAAGGGCCCATACTTCGGATCACTTTTACCAAAGGGTGGGGGAGCGCAGTACTGGGCCATGATTCCAACCCTAGACAGGCCCCGAAATTCCACTTGCAGCTCCATGGTACTTGTTAGCCAGTTCTGCCTGTGCTTATAACACACTTCCAAGCCCTTCAAGTGCCCTAATATGGTTTTCAGTACCATAAACCCTAAGCCCTGACCGTAAACCCTAAACCCTAAACCCCTAAGTACAGTTCTAATTGGTAATAAGTACCATGAGCCTCCAAGTAGCCCTTTCGCCGGAGGCGGAGGTCCTGGGGATAGCGCCGGTTCCCCTCACGGGCGAGGCCCGGTCAGTCCCTAACTGATTGAAGGTAGGTTTTAGGGTTTAGGGTTTAGGGTTTAGGGTTTCGGGTTTAGGGTTTAGGGTTTCGGGTTTCGGGTTTAGGGCTTCAAGTCGGGTCGAGGGCTTAGCGTTTCGGGTGGGCAGCTACAGGAGGGCGCACCCTGGAGGCCCAAAGCCCCGAACCGTCCCCCTCCCAAAGCCTCAGCCCCCGAGTGCCCGCAGCCCTAAACCCTAAACCCTAGACCCCAGAACCTAAAGTCTAACCCCTAAACCCTAAACCCTAAACCCCAAGCCCGAAACCCTAAACCCTAAACCCTAAACCCTAAACCCTAAACCCTAAACCCTAAACCCTAAACCCTCAACCCCAAACCTCCAGCCCTGGAACCCTAAGCCCCGAAAACCCCCGAAGCCGAATGTCCCGGAGGATGCTGGGCCCATGCTTCCGCCGGAGGAGGATGTTTCGGGTTTAGGGTTTAGGGTTTAGGGTTTAGGGTTTAGGGTTTAGGGTTTAGGGTTTAGAGAGTTAGGGTTTTTAGGGTTTAGGGTTTAGAGAGTTAGGGATTTTGCGCTGTTTTTTTGGCTAAAAGGGCTGTTCATGATGTCTCTTTTTTGTTTTGGATTCTTAGGGCTTTTGGGCTTTCAGGGCTTAGGCTTTATTGAGGCGTTGAGGATTTTAGGTTTAGGTTCTTCGGGTTCTTAGGGTTCTGAGGGTGTGGGGCTTAGGATCCGCGAGCCATGTCGCCCAGCAAATCTGCAGGTTTCAGCTGCCTGGCACCCGAAAATCCTAAACCCCAAAACCCTAAAACCTAAAGCCGTAAAACCCTAAAGCCCTAAAACCCTAAAACCCTAAAACCCTAAAACCCTAGAACCCTAAAACCCAAAAACCCAAACACCGCAAGCCCTCAACCCTCTAAAGCCCGAAACCCTAAACCCTAAACCCTAAACCCTAAACCCTAAACCCTAAACCCTAAACCCTAAACCCTAAACCCTAAACCCTAAACCCTACGGGCAGGAGCAGATCAACCCAGCAGCGGCTTTCGCCTCAGCCGCCTGGTGCTCGGACGCGGTCCTTTAGGGAGAGGTTTGGGACCCGGTTTCGGGTTTAGGGTTTGGGGTTTGGGGTAATTAGGGTAATTAGGGTTATTAGGGTTGTTAGGGGTATTAGGCTCATTAGGGTTATTAGGGTGATTTGGGTTTGTTGGGGTTATTAGGCTGATTATGGCCGCCCCCGCCCCCCAATTCCCCAAGTCCATGGCACCTGCATATGTTAAGATGGCCACGAAGACCACCCTAAACCTTAAGCCCGAAGCCCGACATCCTAAATGGGGTTTACGAGAATATGGAACCCCTAATATAGACCCCCAAGTAGTAGGATCCCTTATAATCAGTGTGAGCGGAACCTAAACCCTAAACCTTAAACCCTAAACCCTAAACCCTGAACCCTGAACCTTGAACCCTGAACCTAAACCCTAAACCCTAAACCCTAAGCCCTAAACCCTAAACCCCATGCTGCATCAGGTGTCCTGGGGGATGAAGGATGAGGGCTCATTTTCTGAGGGAGAGTAAGTGAAGGTTCATAAGCAAGCTTCTAGGGTTGAGGGTTTAGGGTTCCAGAGGAGTACCCTTCTTCGCTTTGCGGAGGGTCCGGGTCATTGTACACACCGCCCACTAAGCAAACTGGCCCACTGCCTCTGAGAAACCTTGCATGTAGATCTATTTCAAGTACTCATGAGAGGGTTTTAAGGGCATTTAGAGCTACTTTCAAGTACTCATGATTCCTCAAGTAGGCTCGGTAGGCCCTTGGGATATTTCATATTCTCCCTTATTGGGTTTAAGAGGATCCATATTGAGGAGTATCTTGTTCAGAGGGTGTTAAGGGCCATGCTAGTGGGGTGTCGGACAGGCCTCAGCATCTGGAGGTGGGCGGTTCAGGCCCGATTCAAGCTTTCGGGCGCTTTTGCCCTTTCAGGCTTAGAAAGCCTAAAGGGTTTAGGGTTTTGGGTTTTGGGTTTAGGGTTTAGGGTTTAGGGTGCATAAGGGTATATTTGGGGGTCCCCCTGTTCAGGGCCCATACTAAGGGACCATGTAACCACCCTTAGGCTTTTAGTCACCTGGCGTGCCGCAGCCGTGCCAGTGCAGGGCAGATAGGTTGGAAGTTAGACATGGCATTTCAACTAGGATTTGGGGTTTGGCGTACGGGGCTGAGGGCGGAGCTCATATCCAGCATACTCATTCAGACTCACTCATTTTGGAGTCTTAGTGTTTGCAAGAGCTCGTGTCTGCACAGGAAAGGAGTCGTGGCAAAGGCACAACTTCAGTGCCAACTCGGGTGTAGGGTTCAGGGGCGAGCGTGCGCAGCAGCGAATGAATGGCAGCCACTATCTGGAAGGCTCCTTCCAAGAAGGACTTGCTCTCTCCTCTCTCTCTGAATCTCGCCTAAACCCTAAACCCTAAACTTTTGCTCTCCCTCACTCTCTCTCTGCAGGAGACCCTGGCAGAGGGAGGGTTTCAGGATTTATGGGGTAGGGTTTAGGGTGCTTTGGGATCTTCTGCCTTGGAGGATTTCATGCATGCTTACCCGAGCGTTCAGGTGGAAGTCGGTTATTTCTACTTGTGCGAATGAGGGGAGGGGTATACGTGCAGTCGCCCTAGTTAAAACTCCATTTGCAGGTATCCGTGAACCTTCAGGCGGGCACGGTTCGAAGTGAAGTCAAAAACTCCGCCTTCACGGTTGGCATGAGGCGCTGTGGACATCCCGGCCCCAAGTCTAAACCCTAACCCCCGAAACCCTGAACTCTACACTCTGAACCCTGCACCCTAAGCCCTAGATCATGGACTCCTCAGGGTTTAGGGTTTAGGGTTTTGGCGGAAGGAGCACGGACGGCCCTGAACTCTAAGCCCTTAAGCCCCCAGGCGCCCAAGACTCCAAACCCACAGTTCCAAGACCCCAAGCCCTAAACTCCAAGACGCTGCAAGCCCAAACCCAAAACCCCTCAACCGGTAAACCCCAAGCCCTAAACCCCTTGAAAGCCTTTAACCCCAACAACCCCACACCTCAAAACCCCAAACCCCAAACCCTAAACCGCCCTTGAAGCCCTTAAACCTCGGAGGACCAAAACCCTGGAACCCTAAACCCCCCAACCCCAAAACCCTAAACCCCAAACCCCAAGCCCCAACCCTTAAACCGCAAACCCTAAACCCTAAACCCTAAACCCTAAACCCTAAACCCTAGACCCTAAACCCTAAACCCTAAACCCCGGAGGACCATCCCTACGTGCCACTGGCAAAGCAGAATTCCGGCCCGCTCTGGGTTCATCCGAAGGCCGGTTTCTTGAGGTTTAGGGTTTAGGGTTTAGGGTTTAGGTTTTAGGGTTTAGGGTTTAGGGTTTAGGGTTAGGGCTTAGGGTGTGTCAGGGGAGGGCGCGCGCTCGGGTGTGAAACGCCCCGGACCGCGCGCTCGCGTTGCCCGTCAACCCACCCCGGCCACCCAAACTATACTCTATTAGGGTTTAGGGTTTATGGAATTTATTTTCTTGTGCCCTGATGCTTGCTTTGATGTTTTTAAAGTTGCGCTGTTAGGGTTTAAGCTGGGGTTGGGGGTAGCCTCGGCCCTTTTCGGGCCTTCGGCGTGTCAGGGCCCGTAGAGGATTTATTTGAAGGTCAGGGAAACCCTTTGCGCCTGCTCCTGGATTCCCCTTCTGTAAGGGCCTCAAGCCTTTTGGTGGCTCTTGGGGCGTTTTGGGGGCTTCCTGGGGGCTTTCCTGGCCCTTCCGGGGTAGAATGAAGGGGTGCCCAAAACCATCGATGTCAGTACCAAAAAATCGCATTTTTCATTGCGGGTACGGGCATCCTGGGGTCCCCCTTCTTTTAGGGGGTCTTTTGAAGCCTTTTGGTGGCTCTTGGGGTCTCTCGCCCTGATGTCAGGGGCCGTTGAGGCTTTATTCCTTTGTTGGCCGGGGAACCTATTAATTTTTTTTCGCCAATGAGTATTTCAATCGCTAGGGTTTAAGCTGGGGTTCGGGGTAGCCTCGGCCCTTTTCGGGCCTTCGGCACGTTAGGGCCCGTAAAGGCCCTTTATTTGCTTGAAGGGTTTTGCGGTGTTAGGGTTTAAGCTGGGGTTCGGGGTAGCCTCGGCCCTTTTCGGGCCTTCGGCACGTGCCAGATTTCCGGAAAACTACAACCTCTTGGGTCGGCGGCCTGAGCCGGAAGCTCCTGAATTTAGGGCTCCGGATTTTTGAGACTGGAGAATCCTGAGCCCTGCAACCTACTTAGAGAAGTTTCATGGGTTGTTTATGTGTGAAAAGCAATGAAAGTTTGCAGCTTCCCATGCACCTCCCAGTGCATCCCTCAAATCAGACCCTAAGCCCCAAACCCTAAACCCCAAACCCTAAACCCCAAACCCCAAACCCTAAACCCTAAACCTTAAACCCTAAACCCTAAACCCTAAACCATCGAGGTTCCGACGCAGTTGCAGACGGAGTTCAGGTGGGAGCTCACAGCTTAGGGCTAAGGGGTTTAGGGTGAAAGGGTTAAGGGTTTAGGGTTTAGTTTAGGGGTTTAGTTGTTTAGGGTTTAGGGGTTCAGGAGTTTAGGGTCTTAAGGATCCGTGCTTCGAGTTTTAGAGGTTTAGGGTCTCCCACCCCACCCCCCCCCCCCGGGCATCCGCTAGCCAAACCGGAGAGCGTCGCCATGTCATGTAGCGAGGAAGCTGGCGCGGAAGGGAAGGGGGCCGCGCGCGAGTGAACACAGCCTCTTTAAGCCAGCTCATCACCAGTTTAGGGTTTTAGAGAGGTCTAGTCTGCAGGGTGCAGGCTTTGGGATGTTTGCCCTGTACGAACAGTCCTTAATAGGGATTGTAAATTGTAGGAACCCCCTATATTAATCCCTATTAAGAACTGTTAGTATCAGGGGGAACATCCCAATGTAGGCTTTAAGAAACCTAAACCCTAAACCCTAACCCCAAACCCTAAACCCTAAACCCCAAACCCTAAACCCTAAACCCTGAACCCTAAACCCTCAGGGTTTCGGGTTTGAACGGGGCCATGAGGACTTCAGCCCGAAAGCTTGGATCTAGGCCTTGGGGTCTTCGAGATGTGGTCCTATGTATATATATATATATACATATGCAATTATGTTTTCTTGTGTGTGTGTGTGTGTGTGTGAGAATTTTCCTTACTCCAATGTCGTTTTCTGTCTGACCGGGCTTGCCCTCCGCCACCCCGCACTGACGTGGGCACCTCAAATCGAAAGCCCGAAACCCTAGGCCCCTAAACCCTAAACCCTAAGCCCTCAACCCCTGCACCCTAAACCCTAAACCCTAAACCCTAAACCCTAAACCCTAAACCCCAAACCCTAAACCCTAAACCCTAAACCCTAAGCCCTAAGCCCTAAGCCCTAAGCCCTAAACCCTAAACCCCAAACCCCAAACCCTAAACCCCAAACCCTAAACCCTAAACCCTAAACCCTAAACCCTAGACTGAGCGCCCCTGGGCTTCTGTTCAGGAAGTTAGAAGCTGTTTGCAGAGCAAGGCGACTATCATATGGACTCGTGTTTAGGGTTTAGGGCTTAGGGTTTAGGGTTTAGGGTTCCAGGCTACGGAAACTTACGTTGCTGACCCTGAAGCCCTCATTGAGCTAGATGCGGGCCGCATTGTTTTGAAACATGAGAGAGTAACAGCAGGAGATAGCTGACATATGCAACGCAGGAGTCAGTATTGCACCCTCAACTGCCCGAACCCGGAAGTCCCCCCAAACTTCCATCCAGCCCTAAACCCTGAACCCTGGGCCCTAAACCCTGCACCCTGAACCCTAAACCCTAAACCCGAAACACCCTAAACCCTAAAACCCTCCATCCAGAGTATGGTGGCCGACTGCAGGACCAACTACGGACGTGAAGGCATCCAGAGGCCGGTGCTTGGAGGTTCATGGTACTTATTAGCCAATAGGGTTTAGGGTTTAGGGTTTAGGGGTACTTCTTAGCCAATTGGGTTTAGGGTTTAGGGTTTAGGGCTTAGGGTTCAATCACCTCGTTACGACTATCGAGGCTTGTAGGGTGTGCGGGGTACACAGGGTTCGGGGCTTCGGGTTTACAGCGTCTAGGGCGCTCGGTATGAGGGTTTACCAAAATAGGGACCCCCAGCATAAACCCCCCAAATAGAAGGATCCCTTTAAAAATTAACCATGGTGCCTGTGAGAGCCCCAAGAGCCCTGCCTGGAGCCCTGGTTATAAGTACAGAAAGGACGGTACTGAGCGCTTGTTTGTTTTGTATTTCTGTACAAGTATGGGTTGGCATTATTACTTGCGTAGTTTTCGACCGTCCCTTCCCCAGAAAGTATGGGTAGCTACAATAACATGAGCTGGATACAGCCTTGTTTAGGGTACTTGAAACGCTACTTCCAACCACCCATGAACATCCAAGTCCTACCGCACCCCTAAACCTAAAAACCCTAAACCCTAAACCCAAGTATGACTCCCGCAGGCCTGGCTGCAGTGCTCTCCCGGACAAAGCAGATGAGGATGGGATGTCCATGCCGTCGTAGTGGCGTGAGACCACGCGTTCCGATTTACGGGCTGAGGAACGTGCCTTGCTCCCGTGCGGCAATGACACACATCCAGAATACACGGCGTGTCGCGCAGAGCGTGGCCGGGGCGAAGCAACGGCTGCGAAGTTGAAAGCCCTTGCACAAGCCAAGAGAGCAGCCGCGAAGGCGACCGCCACGGACTGCTGCTGCGAAGCGTTTAGAGGTTTAGAGTTTAGGGTTTAGGGTTTAGGGTTCAGGGTTTAGGGTTTAGGGTTTAGGGTATAGGCAGGATGGCTCCCACATCATTGGTTAGTCAGATTTGGGGTGGCGACGAGAGAAGTCACTTAGTGTTCATGGCTTTGGGGTTTAGGGTTCAGGGTTTAGGGTTTAGGGTTTAGGGTGTAGGGTTTAGGGTTTAGGGTTTAGGGTCTAGGGTCTAGGGGGTTCAAAAACAAGGCCCCGTGACCACGACAAGCCCGTATGGGGGGTTTCCGACATTGGGGGGGGGGGCGGGTAACTCATGGGGGGTTAGGGTTATTCTAACGCCCAAACCCTAAAGCCTAAACCCTAAACCCTAAACCCTAAACCTTAAACCCTAAACCCTAAACCCTAAACCCGGGCATCTAGCGTCTCATGAGCCCCTTTGAGTAGGGTTGAGGCCCGGAAAAGGGACCCGGAAACGAACCCGCGCGTTACGTTTGCTTCTTCGAGTCGATAGGAGGTGTGCGCTTTGGTCCTGTAGGTGCTCTACGCCCTAAGCCCGTAAAGCTCAAACCCCAAATGCTCACCCCAAACACCCTACACCCTCAACCCCTGGACCCTAAACCCTAAACCCTAAACCCTAAACGCTAAACCCTAAACCCTAAACCCTAAACCCTGCAACATCTGTACCCTAAACCCGAAACCCTACACCCTACACCCTAAACCCTGCAACATCTCTTAGACTAAACCCTATATAACCCTAAACCAAACCCTAAACCCTAAACCCTAAACCCTCAACCCTCAACCCTAAACCCTAAACCCTAAACCCTAAACCCTAAAACCCTAAACCCTAAACCCTAAACCCTAAACCCGAAACCCTAAACCCTAAACCCTAAACCCTAAACCCTAAACCCTAAACCCTGCAACATCTCTTAGACAGGCCCCCGCTGTCCTACTGCCAGACCCGCTACCTCTCCACCGGCAGCTTGAGCCGCCCCGCGCCGCGGCGGCAAGTCTTAGGGTATAGGGTTTAGGGTTTAGGGTTTAGGGTTGAGGGTTTAGGGTTTAGGGTTTAGGGTGTGTCAGGGGAGGGCGCGCGCTCGGGTGTGAAACACTCCGGGCCGCGCGCTCGCGTTGCCCGTCAACCCACCCCGGCCACCCAAACTATACTCTATTAGGGTTTAGGGTTTATGGACTTTTTCTTGTGCACCGATGCTTGCTTTTTTGAAGTTGGTCTTGGGGTTAAGCTGGACTCGAGGGTAGCCTCGGCCCTGTTGGGACCTTCGGCGTGTCAGGGCCTTGTTTTCGCCAATGAGTATTTCGATCGCTAGGGTTTAAGTTGGGGTTCGGGGTAGCCTCGGCCCTTTTCGGGCCTTCGGCGCGTCAGGGCCCGTAGAGGCCCTTGCTGATTTGGGGGCTTCCTGGGGCTTTCCTGGTCCTTTTGGGGTGAAATGGAGGGGTGCCCAAAGCCATCGATTTCAGTACTAAAAAATAACATTTTTCATTGCGGGCAGGGGTGCCTAAAACCATCGTTTTCAATAGTGAAAAATCGCATTTTTCATTGCGGGCACGGATAAATCTTGGGGTCCCCCTTCTTTTAGGCTTTTGAGTGAAGCTTTTGAAGCCTTTTGGGCCTCTTGGGGCTTCCTGGGCTTCCTGGCGCTTCTGGTGTGGAGGGGTGCGCAAAACCATCGATTCCAGTATTCAAAAATGTTTTTCATTCATGGTACGGCCCTGGCAGGGGGGGCCCAGCAAACCCTGAACCCAAAGCCCTGAATATACTTTAGCTACGCTAAAGGTGGTCTGGGTGCCGGCCATCCCATGTCCGTTGGCCTGTCCAGGACAGACGGTGAGGCTTATTTTGTGTGGGCGCTCGGGCTGTAAGGCCGTTCGGGGTCTGTCGCTCGACGGAAGCGACTTAGTTTAGGGTTTAGGGTTTAGGGTTTAGGGTTTAGGGTTATGGGTTTAGGGTTTAGGGTTTAGGGTTTAGGGATATTTATACGTAGTATTCCCTTAGGGTCCCCATATGAATATATCATAGCAACCCCCAAAACCTTATTCCAATGATTAAGGCCCCTATGTTAGGCAAGGCAGTCAGCCTTGGGGGTTTAGGGTGGTTTAGGGTTTGGGGGGTTCAGGGTTTAGGGGGTCTAGCGTTTAGGGGGTCTTTCGGGTTTTGGGGTTTTTAGGGTTTGGGGGTTTTGGGTTGGGTTTTGGGGGTTTTGGGGATTTGGGGTTGAGGGCATTTACGGGTTAAGGGTTTGGGGCTTAGGGTTTGTTTTCTCCTGGTTTGGGCCCTAAACCTTAAACCCTAAACCCTAAATCCTACACCCTAAACCTAAGCCGACAGGGCTTTGGGCAGTATAGGTTGGGATCTTCCCCCTTCTACTAGCAGTCCTTATTAGGGATTATGATAGGGGGTACAAAAAATCCCTGTTAAGGACTCTTACAAACAGGGGGAACATCCCAAAGTACAGGGTTCCAATACCCTGGAAGCCAAAGCCTAAGCCGTGGCGCCCTCGGGACGGACGGTTGGCAACCGAAGGGCGCCAGAAAAAATGCCCACCCTACAGATCCCTAACCCCCAAGACCCGAAGCTTCAAGTACATACGTACATATATATGGGTGGTAGTCAACATTATGGTCCCTTTTTGGATCCCTATTATAATACGGCACCTAAAATTTAGGGTACCCCAGAAGGGATCATAATTTTGACAGCCACCCATATATATATATATATGTATGTATGTATATGTATATATACATGTGTGTGTGGATATGTATATGTGCAAGCGTAAGTGTGTGTCTATATATATATATATATATATTTATGTTTTTTCATGTGTGATACATACATATATATATGTATACGCATACATATGTTTCTTAAAGCAAATTACATACACATATCCCTGCACTCCTAAAGAAACAAACCACCCTTTTCATATGAAGTGCACCTGGTCTCCCTCCCAAAACAGAAATTTCTACCTGAAACCTCCCACAGATCCCAATATCCCTTAATTTGGGAATATTTCTTAGGCTGTACTAAGGATGCTTAGTCTAGGGGGGTTTAGGGTTCAGGGAGGAGCCATCTGTGAGGCAGATTCCGTAATTTGGGGATATTTGAGCCTTTGGACTTACATCTGCGGCCAAAGGCTACGGCAGATGCAACTGCACTGGCTGCCAGGCCCGTTTGCAGGGTTTAGGGTTTAGGGGTTATAGGTTTACAGGGTGTGGGTTACAGAGTTTGGGGCTTGTTATGTGTTGGCTGTAGGGTTGAGCGTTTGTGGCGTTAATGGGCTTATAGGGTTTCGAGGAGTTGGAGTGTTCATAGTGTTCTTTTGGTTTGCCTGTTTTTTGGGCTTATCGGGTTTCATAGAGCTCGTGCGGTCCTTAATTGTATATTTTTAGAAAGGGTTCATAGGGTTCATAAGGTTGTGCATATTTTTGTCTTATGTCAGGTTTGTGAGGTTTATAGGGTTAGGGTTGGTCCAACTTATGGGCTCTTTTTGGGGATGCTGAGACGTATAATCCCTTGAAAGGTGTTAGGGCATTAGGTACCGTGTATCCCCCTGGAAACCCTCGAGGGTTTAGGGTATGTAGGGTATGTAAGGTACCTGACATTGAAGCGGCTCTCCAGAAACCCCAAACCCTAACGTGCCCATGAACATGCAAGTAATCCCAGGCCCTGAAACACCAAACCCTGCGCCCCAAACTCCAAAAAGGCGTGGTTTAGGGTTTGGGGTACAGGGTTCAGGATTTGGGTTGCTTGAAGGTTCACGGGTACTTGTGAGGTAGGGTTGTAAGTAGCGTAACCGTGATTCTAGCCCGGAGTTCGGCGCACAAAGCCGGGAAACCGCCCCATACATGCTAGTCACCCTAAACCCTAACTTCTAAACCCGAAACCCTAAACCCTAAAGCCTAAATGGGGTAGATGAACCAAGAGCGATGGAACGCGGGGGGAACAACAGGCCAAAGAGCAGGAGAACCAGGCCAAGGAGCAAGCGTTCAGCTACCCGTACAACACACAGAAGGAGGAAGCACTTACAGGCTTGACACAAGCACCGGAGAGAAGATTTGGTTGGGCTACGACGCCAAGTACAAGCATGAAAAGGGCCAGCAAGCACCCGCACCAGCGCTACGTAGTCACGGACGGCACCTCCGTTCGTGCAGTCAGACCTGAAGCTGCACGGGGCGGTGGCTGGCTCCAGTGCAAAGGCACTGGCTGCGCCGTGGACGTGTTCAAAAGCAGCAACCCGGCACTTTGTCGTCGGGCGCGAGAAGCAGCCGACATGGTGATGCATCTGGTTCGGACGGGATGAGCCCGAAACCCTTTACCGCAAATTCCTAAACCCCAAACCCTAAACCCTAAACCCTGAACCCTGAACCCTGAACCCTGAACCTCTAAGCCCTAAACCCTAACTTCCTAGTCCCCAAAACCCGAGACCCGGAACCCTAAACCCCAAACCCTAAACCCTAAACTCTAAAGCCTAAACCCTAAACCCTTTACTCTAAAGCCTAAACTCTCAAGCCTAAACCCTAAACTCTAAAGCCTAAACCCTAAACCCTTTGCCCTCAATCCGAATCCTTCGACTCGCGCTCGCAGGAGCGGCTCCGCCGTTGCTTCGTCGATGCGCCACGAGGCCCGCGCGCACGAAGCTTTCGGGTGCGGCAGGCTTTGTGGGTTTAGGGTTTAGGGGTTTAGGGTTTAGGGTTTGGTGGTTTAGGGTTTAGGGTTTCGGGTTGAACGCTGTCACTTTCGACCCTACACACCTAGATCGTAAGCTTGAAGCCCTAAACCCACCCTGAACCTTAGAACCCCAAAAGCCCAACACAGGAGAATCATAAACTCTAGAACCCTGAAGGCTTAGCTTCAGCTCCCGAAGTCCTCTTTAAACCCTAAACCCTAAACCCTGAACCCTAAACCCTAAACCCTAAACCCTAAACCCTAAACCCTAAACCCTAAACCCTAAACCCTAGACTTCGGAGGGTTCTTTCTGGCGCAGTCCGCAGCCTCGGAGGTTTCTTCGCGGCAGACGTATCTGCGGCAGTCTCGGCTGTCCTCCAACGCCAGCCTGGAGCTCAGACAGGGTTTAGGGTTTAGGGCTTAGGGTTTAGGGTTTGGGGTTTGGGGTTTGGGTTTGGGTTTGGATTTAGGGTTTAGGGTTTAGGGTTTGGGGTTTTGGGGTTTGGGGTTTGAGGTGTAGGGTTTGAGGAATAGGGTTTTGCGGGCTTAATTCAGGTTGGAAATGGGGACCTTCGAGGAATGTAAAAAAATACTCGGTCAGGAGTTTACATTCAGAAAAACCCGGTCAGAGGCTGCAAGCCTCTTTGGCTTGCAATGAGGAAGATCCGGCAGATTCATCGCCAGCTCTGCAAGATTTATGGGGTTTAGGGGTTTCGCACGAAGACGTGCAAGGGTAGTTACATGGTCCCTTAATATGGGGGTCCTTTGCCTTCTTCATAGGGTTCAGATGTGTGGGCCCAGAGGGCCCTCCTAAACCCTAAACCCTAAACCCTAAACCCTAAACCCTAAACCCTAAACCCTAAACCCTAAACCCTAAACCCTAAACCCTAAACCCTAAACCCTAAACCCTAAACCCTAAACCCTAAACACTAAACCCTAAACCCTAAACCCTAAACCCTAAACCCTAAACCCTAAACCCTAAACCCTAAACCCTAAACCCTAAACCCTAAACCCTAAAAACCCTAAACCCTAAACCCTAAACCCTAAACCCTAAGCCCTAAACCCTAAACCCTAAACCCTAAACCCTAAACCCGAAACCCTAAACCCTAAACCCTAAACCCTAAACCCAAAGAAAGCGACGGCTTGTCTGTTGGAATCGATTCCCAGAAGTTTGGCTTGAAGGTGCATGGGTTATGTAGTTCTAAGTAGGCTTGGTAAGTGCCTTTAAAAAAAGGTGCCAGCTGTAAAAGTAGCTACCCTACTCAACGCCAGTTATAGCTATAGCTACCCATGAATTTCCGAGGGGGGTTCCCAGCCTGCATCGGCAAGGGTTTAGGGTTTAGGGTTTAGGGTTTAGGGTTTAGGGTTTAGGGTTTAGGGTTTAGGGTTTAGGGTACAATGACGTGAGGGACGGTTGTTCGCAGTGAAGGGTAGGGGTTCTGGTTTTAGGGTGTTAGGGTTTGTAAGCTTTTCAGGGCTTTCAGGGCTTTTGGGGCTGTTAGGGCTTCTAGAGTTTTCAAGGTTTAGGGTTTAGGTTAGGGCTTCGGGCAGAACGCCTTCTACGCTGGGGCGTGTAGGGTCTTGGGTTTCAGGGCCCCCCTCTTGTTCAGGAACTTCGATTAAGTTACCACCGCAGGGTTTAGGGTTTTAGGGCACAGCAACAAGAATAGTGGCCTTAGTTTAAGTCAAGGTCCTGAACAAGAGCCCGGCTACATGGAAAGGCGAGCCTACTGCACGCCCTCAGCTCTCTTTCCTTAGACCGTCAACACCATGGCCTCAGTTCAAGGGACTAGAGGAGTTGTAAGGGACCTTAGGGGCTCTTTGGGGGTGATTTAGGAGCTACTTAGGTATATAGGGATGAAACAAGGTACATATATATATATATATATATATATATATATATACACTAGAGGAGTTATAAGGGACCTTAGGGGCTCTTTGGGGGTTATTTAGGGGCTACTTAGGTATATAGGGACAAGATAAGGTAGATGTAGGAGTTGTATAGGGGGATAAGCTGAAGGGTCCCTTCTCGGGGTCCCTGCTTCTACCTTAAAACCCTAAACTCTAAACCCTAAACCCTAAACCCTAAACCCTAAACCCTAAACCCTAAATCCTAAACCCTAAACCCTGAACCCTGAACCCTAAACCCTAAACCCTCAACCCTAAACCCTAAACCCTAAACCTTAATCAGTCGATCCCCAAGTCTCCGAAACCTACGGAAAAGGAGCTTGGGGGAGTGGCGTCTGATGAATGTAGAGCCCAGGTTGGTGTTTAGGGTTTAGGGTTTAGGGTTTAGGGTTGAGGGTTGAGGATCTCACATCCTAAGCCAGCACGTCAGCTTGCTTGGGCCCTGGTTGAGGAACTTAAAAAAACTTACATGGGGCATTCTATCAACCCTGAACGCCTAAACCCCAACCCCCGAAGCCCTAAGCCCCAAGCCCCAAGCCCTAAGCCCTAAGCCCTAAGCCCGAAGCCCTAAGCCCTAAGCCCTAAGCCCTAAACCCTAAACGGCATCCACTCTAAGCCCTAAACCCATCATTGATAAATCTACCTTCCTGCCCCTCCCAAGGCGTCTGCAGTTCGGCCAGGGGTTCGGAATCCGGTGAGGCCCATTGGAATTCAGGATGAGGGGCCCTTTTCGTCGTAGAGGGTGTAGGGTTTAGGTGGTAGGGTTAAACCCTAAACCCTAAACCCTAAACCTTGAACCCTAAACCCTAAACCCTGAACCCTAAACCCTAAACCCGAACCCGAAGTGCGCCCTAAGCCCCCTGAGCCCGGGGTGTTCCGGGGTTACTTGAGAGCCAGGGTCATGGGGTCATGCTTGCGTTTAGGGTTTAAGGTTTAGGGTTTACTCATAACCCCACTTATAAGTCCCCATGAACCTTCAAGTAGGGGTTGAGGGCTTTGGGTTCTAGGGGCTTTTGGGGTCTTCGGGGGTTTAGGGGTTTAGGGGTTCAAGGGTTTTAGGGGGTTTAGGGTTCGGGGGTTTAGGGGCTTTAGGGTTTTTATGTGTTTTCGGGGGCTTTAGGGCATGTTGGGGTCTACCGGCTTCTGGCGAGGGCTTCCGGTTCGTGTAACCCCCAAGTTCTTAGGGTTTGTTGTTGTAGTTTAGTGTGGAGGCCTTGGTGGCGTTTGGGGTGGGTGGTCTGGGGGGTGGGAGCCAAACTCTCTCCCAAACCCCTAACCCCTAAACCCCTAAACCCCAAGCCCCAAACCCCAAAGCCCCAAACCCCAAACCCTAAACCCTAAACCCTAAACCCTAAACTCCAAACCCTAAACCCTAAACCCTAAATCCTAAACCCTAAACCCTAAACCCAAGAAGGGTCGAGGGGTCTCAAGATGCGTGTCGGGGCAGAAGGGTTTCGGACGACCAAACCCTAAACCCTAAACCCTAAACCCTAAACCCTAAACCCTAAACCCTAAACCCTAAACCCTAAACCCTAAGCCCTAGACCCTAGACCCTAAGCCCTAAGCCCTAAGCCCTAAACCCTAAACCCTAAACCCTAAACCCTAAACCCTAAACCCTAAACCCTAAACCCTAAACCCTGAACCCTAAACCCGACATCGCCGACCGCAGCCAAAAGGGCCCCACTTCAGCTGCCCAGCCCGCCTTCCCCGATAGCTCTCGGGGTGTTCGCGCTTTGAGAGGGTTTTTGAGAGTTTAGGGTTTAGGGTTTAGGGTTTTTAGAGTTTAGGGTTTATGGTTTAGGGTTTAGGGTTTTTAGAGTTTAGGGTTTAGGGTTATTTTCTTCGGATTTGGGCAAGGGAGTTTCGAGTTCCTTCGGGAGATATTCGGGGTTGCCGGGTAGGCGCTTCTGGTAGCAGGCCACTTGCGCGCAGTGGGGCTGGGCCTTGTATTACGAGCGCATTTGACGCCAAATGCCGTCAGAACTTGCGATGGACGCTGTGCCTTGGAAGAGCCTCCGGGACGAGAAGGCGACTTGGTGAAAGAGTTCAGGATGTAACTTGGGATGTTCCCCTTACACTAACTAGCACTCCTTAATGGGGATTATAGTGCCCCCCGATTATATTCTCTATGTACGACTGCTAGTATAGGGGGAACATCCCTAGATGTAACGCAGGTGCCGTAGCTTAACGACTACCGAGTCCATCCTAAACCCTAAACCCTAAACCCTAAACCCTAAACCCTAAACCCAAAACCCAAAACCCTGAAGCCTAAACCCTAAACCCAAAACCAATAGTCCCCTATACTCGGGTGTCGGGAGGGAGCATGAAGAATTGCCCAAAACCCTAAACCCTGAATCCTAAACTCTAAACCCTCAAACCCTCAAACCCTAAGCCCTAAACCCTAAACCCTAACCCCTAAACCCCAAGCCAACAGTCCCCTGTATTAGGGTGTCGGGGTTGGAGGGAGCATGAAGAATTGCCCCAAAACCCAAAACCCTAAACCCTAAACCCTAAGCCCTAAGCCCTAAACCCCAACCCCTAAACCCTAAGCCCTAAACCCTAAACCCTAAACCCTAAGCCCTAAACCCTAAACCCTAAACCCCAAACCCTAAACCCTAAACCCCAAACCCTAAACCCTAAACCCCAAACCCTAAACCCCAAAACCCCAAATTTGAGGACCTGGAGATGCAGCTCGGCGAGAAGGAGGCGCGGCAGCTTGGGTTTTTTTGGGTTTTTTGGGTTTTTTGGGTTTTTAGGGTTTTGAGGGTCTTTTAGGGTTTTAGGGTTTTAGGGTTTTTAGGGTCTTTTGGGGTTGTTTTGGGGCTGTTAAGGGTCTTTAGGGCTTTAAGGGTCTTTAGGGTTTTTAGGGTCTTTTGGGGTTGTTTTGGGGCTGTTAAGGGTCTTTAGGGCTTTAAGTGTCTTTAGGGTTTTTAGGGTCTTCTGGGGTTGTTTTGGGGCTGTTAAGGGTCTTTAGGGCTTTAAGAGTCTTTAGGGCTTTTATGGTCTTTTGGGGTTGTTTTGGTGCTGTTAAGGGTCTTTAGGGCTTTAAGGTTCTTTTGGGGTATTTTAGGGCTAGTCATTCAGGTTTCTAGAGGGTTTTTAGGGTTTTTTAGGGTTTTTTCGGGTTTTGGGGTCTTTCTGGGTATTTTAGGGTTATTAAGGGCTTTTACGGTTTTCAGGCTTTGAAGGCTGGTTTTAAGGGTTTTAGGTTTTAGTTTTTAAAGGTTTTCAGGGCCCCAGGGCTTTTGAGGTTTTAGACTTTGGCGGTGTAGTGGTCAAGTTTTTGTTGCGGTTCACAAGCCTTTTCCACGGTTCTGCGTTTAGGGGTTTGGGGGGTGCAACACTTTGTAAAGCTGTGTCTCCATTTGGCTACCCTAAACCCTAAACCCTTAAACCCTAAACCCTAAACCCCAAACCGTCTTGGGCAGAAGGGTGCAGCATCATCTTAAGGGATTGAAGGGTCTTTGGGGGTTCTAAACCCTAAGCCTTAAGCCCCTAAGCCCTAAACCTCAAGCCCCGAAACCCTAGACCTGAGGCCTTCAACCCAAAACCCTTAAAGCCCTTAAGCCATAAACCCTTCAGCCATAAACCCTAAACCCTAAACCCTAAACTCTAAACCCTAACCCCTAAACCCTAAACCCTAAACCCTAAACCCTAAACCCTAAACCCTAAACCCTAAACTGGCGAGATGCTCGAGCCTCTCGGACAGGGCTCTGCCTTGGCGCGTGGCGAATCGTCAGCCCTGGAAAGGTAAAGCCTCCCATGGCTCACCCCTACAACGTGACCCATCGCCCTAAACCCTCAACCCTCAACCCTCAACCCTCAACCCTCAACCCTCAACCCTCAACCCTCAACCCTCAACCCTCAACCCTAAACGCTAAACCCTAAACCCTAAACCCTAAAGCGCTTTCCACTACGGAGCATAGCTCCTGTACTTAGAACCCCAAACCTCGATCATTGGGGTCATTTGTGTCGTTTAGGGGTGCCCGGGGGGTCCCTGACCGGGGGCACTCCCACATGACTCCTGACCAGGGGACCTCCTTCCTGGGACCTCCTTTTTGGGACCTCCTTCCTGGGACCTCCTTTTTGGGACCATGAACCTTCTGAAACGCCTGAAGCCCGTCTAAGACCTCTCGGGGACCTTTCTGGGACCCAAAGACTGCAGAAGCAGGGCCGGTCGTTGAGGGGGCTCGGCGAGCCAATCGAGAGAACAAGAGGGTTTGGGGGGGTTGAGCCTTAAAACCTATAAAAGAATAGTTCGGGTGGGGGTGGGTTTTTGAGCCATGCAAGCGCGCGATAGGGAGCGCATGAGTCTAAAGAAAGGCGCGCTCCCTGTACGCGTACACTGATCGACACCCTACACCCTAAACCTTAAGCCCTACACCTCAAACCCCAAACCTTAAACCCTAAACCCTGAGCCTGACACCCTAAACCCTGAGCCCTAAGCCTCGAACCCTGAACCAAGTGTCTGGAGGTTCTGGGGTTGAAGGTTGGCGGTCGGCTTCAGGTGTTCCTGGGATCCAACTTATCAACTTGGGCATTAGACTTTTTTTTGGGGGGTTTAGGGTGTGGCCGACTGATTTACAGAGTTTTTGGTGGCACCGGGGCACACAGGTCGCACTCCCGAAGCCCTGCACCCTATACCCCTATACCCTCAGGTGAAGAAAACGCAGTCGGACGCCACAGTAACTGCGCGCCTCTCTGCTGCATCTCGTGTCCCCTGCAGATGGGGAGGGTTTAGGGCTCAGCTTGAAGGTTTGGGGGTGGGGGAAAGGCCTAAGAGTGCTTCAAAAGTTCCATGGGCCCTCATCTCTTTTTAACCCTAAGCCTTTACGTATATAGCTTGGTGGTAGGGTTTTCTGGGGTTCTTCGTTTTCAGGGAAGGGCTTCGGGTTTAGGGAGGGGTCGGGGGTTTGGGGGTTCTTAGGCTTTCGTGTGGAGGATTTTTTTGGGGCTTTGATTCTCGAGTGGGTTTGCCTAATCCCTAAAGCCTAAACCGCAGTTAACTCTTGGGAGGTTAGTTCATTCCTCATTACATCCTTCCCTTCATCTTAACCCCAAACACTTATGGTTCAAGAGAGGGCCCCTCGCAGCTCTAGCTTATAACTCGGGGGGACCTCCTCTTGTAAGCCCTAAACTCAAACCCTTTCATACCCGTTCTAGCTATCTAGAGCCCTATATTCCTAACTTTTCCTAGATCCTAAGCCCCGAACCCCAAACTCCAAACCCTGGGTTCTAAACCAGGAGGCAGGACGCTGCACCGCGTCGTGACGTCCACGACAGCCGAGCCTTTATCGCCCCGAGGGCGCTGTTTGGCGAGGCGGCACGAGGTTTGAGGTTTGGGGTTTAGGGTTTAGCGCTGGGCAGGGGTTAGGCTTAGGCGGCGGGGTGGAGGGTTTAGGGTTCAGGGTTCGGGGTTGGGCTTGGGTGTTTGGGGTCAGGGCCTTTGGGGTTTGAGGGTTTGGAATTCAGCTTCTGTCTTTTGAGGTTGAGGGCGTCGCAGTTGTGCAGGTGTTGTGCCCTAAACCCTACACCTTCAACCCTGAGTCTTAAACACTACGCTGACCAAGAATCCGAGGACAAAGTCCAGTCATGCAATCGGCAGGCCCTAAATCCTAACCCGATTCCTCCGCAAACCCCAAACCCCAAATCCCGCAGAAACCCTAAACCCGAAACCCTAAGTCCTGAAGGAGCCTCTT